ACATCCTTCTATTCAAGCATAAATAACGCTACCACATAGCCCCAGTGAAAGATGCAAAAGAACAAGAACCCAAGCGAGCCGACTACATCCACATGCTCATGCAGCATTAAATATCCTTTGCCCTCTCAAAAAAAGTTAGTCCAAGGTATTGTATTCTTCAAGCCAAACGACAAATCAATGTCGATCATGGATGTTGATGAATTGTATGATTTTGAAGATTACTTCCCGTCGATGATTCAAAGACTAGGTTCTGAGGGATTCATGGGGGAGCTGTGCAGTGGATTCTACTTGTTGATGGATGTTACCAAAGGACTCATCACTTTCGAGAGCTTGAAGAAGAACACGCTCGTTCTTGGCCTGCATGATCTTGGAGATGATGAGATCGTCTGCATGTTGGCTGAAGGAGACATGGATGGAGACGGAGCTCTAAACCAGATGGAGTTTTGCATTCTCATGTTCAGATTGAGTCCGGGCTTAATGGATGGATCCAAGCGTTGGATGGAAGAGATGGGAGTAAATGATATGTGAAGCAACTTTTTTGATCGTGCCATGTTACGTTAGCGTCTTTTGAGGTTTTACACTTTGAACATTGCTTGATGATTTGGTATTGAGTTAGATGCGCGTGTTGCTTCATCTAATAAAAGAAATAAATGATGTTATCTTGATTTTAATACTCTTGACAGCCAAGAAGCTTAAGACTTCTCTCTTCACACGACCACCATGTACTGACCAGTGATTCAAGTTAGCTTAAAGCTTGACAAAATTTGGATACTGTGGTAAAGAACCACTCTATTATCAGTCAGTTTTATTTTACACCAGAGAGAGAGAGAGAGAGAGAGAGAGAGAGAGAGATTTCTGTTCCTGGTAAAGTTTTGGTTTTTATTCGTTATGAACTTGGCTGTTAGCAAGTCATCAGCGAAATTGATATATGCATTCTGATGGAATTCAACTGATCAGATCAGATAAAAATAAGTGCAGAAGAGATGGGTGCCGTATACTACGGATATGGAAACCTGTCTCAACCAACATTACCCCAAAGAGCAGACACCATAATTTCCAAGTGTAGAATACAGGAATCTACTGCTCCGAATTATTAATGTGTAATGTCCCAAAATCTCCAGTTGAATCCTGAGTCCATTTATTAGTGGGTCCAACATTCGTCCTGAAGAGATTGTCAACTGATCTCTCTGTGGTTGATGCTGCTTCTCTGTTGTCCGATGCATTTTCAACTTATGCGTCAACTTTTCAATCAATTTAATTAGGCCGTAATTTTTCTACTCCCACTCGGTTATCGTAACCATATGGAGGATTTACTCTGAGCCTCATCTGATTCATGGTAAAGTTTAGACCGCTTGCTCTAAGCTGTTATGTAGTAGTAACAACTATTATTATTTTCGAACGTGTCAAAGTATAAACCATTTTTCTGGAAGAGTGGTTTTTTTTTTTTTTTTCCCTATGCACCTTATTTCTCCAAGCAGTCGATACATTTAGCGGTTTATCTCCCGTGTAAATAGGGTACGTGGGGTCAGAAAATGAAACCAGAAGAAATTCGTGGTACGGCGAGAATTGGCAACGCATATCCGTAAAAGGATAATGAGTAGAATTTAGAAAACTCTCTTGTGAAGAAGGCCATAATCATAATGAGGGGGGCCATTTGTAGTCCACCTCAACAAGACGTTACAAGCCTATGTGTCACTGGACTACTCGGTACTAGCCCACTAGGTAGGGGCCAACTATCCCTCATCCAGATTCCATTCCAATGCTTGCTTGGTTGAGATTCAATTAACCCCTGTACAACAAGACTCACTATCATCAATCTCGGTGACAAGGCAAGAGAAGAAAATAAGCAAAAACGGATAACTGTGAATTATTAAAAAAAAAAAAAAAAAAAAGGTCATCATTGAGTTTGATGAATAATCTAACAATAGAACCGGAAGAAGCAGACATCGTAATTTCAGCATATGAAGATTTTTGTGGGACCGCATTAGTCGTTTTGCTTTTGTTCCTTTGGATTATTGATCTTTCTTTCCTTTCTTTTTTTTTTTTTTTGTGGTTTGGCATTATTGATCTTGTCCTATCCTTCTAATTGGATTTCGTTGATTAAGTGTCGGGGGTTAATCATTAGACATCAATCCACGCATCGCGGAAAATGTAGTGAACGGTGACCTCACTATAAGTTTGAGAGTCGTCAGGATTGTTAATTAATTACTTGTAATTTGTTATGCAGAATTAAAGGTCATCTATTAATTCTCTAGATTATCTATGCATTTGCCTTGGATTTAATTCCGCTTTGCACTCCCCAACTTTACACTTTTCTCACTTTGCGCCGCCCCTAGTTCTAATTTTGTACACATTGCATCCTCAATTATCGAATCTATCCCATTTCAGTCCAATTGATAGCTCCGGCACCAAGATTAACGGAGAAAATGACCGCGGCCCCAACGTGCACTTTACACGACTCTCTGCCAAAATGCAAAAGGCCCCAACGCTGGTTCTTTTCTAGTATTTGGGATATAGTTATACAGACATATCTCAAGTGCTACAGCGGAAGTCCTAGTTTCATGTTTTTTCTCTGTTTAGTCTTTCTTTTGTTTTATCAAACCGAGTGTGCTATATATTTCTTTATGGACTATAAAAGTAAATTTGTTGACTTCCCTCCTCAAAATTTCCATGGATTTTCGGATATAAAAGTCTCACTGGCATGTGGGGTGAGGAGTCTTTTTTTTTTTTTTTGGTTAATTTTGGTGACAGAGAGTTATCAATTGGACTGAAATGGGATGGATTTGATAGTCGAGGGTGCAATGTGTCCAAAATTAGAATTGGAGGTGTAAAGTGAGAAAAGTGTACAAGTTGAGAGGTGCAAAAGTGGAATTAAACCTTCCCCTTCGCTAATTTTATGCAACTCTACCTTTTCATTTTCATTTATATTCTCTTCTCTTTTTTAACTTTTTCTTAACAAAAAACAAACATCTTCACCAAATAATGGATTGCTTGATTTAGACAGATCTTCATTCTCGTTCCGGTTTGTCAAATGTTAATAGAGCCATCAAACCGGGGCCGCCTGTTGACACGACTTGTCATACTTTAAAGTTCAACCGTTGAATCCTGTACGGCCCATCTCGATGTACTGGATCAATCCTGCAGCATCGTTAGAACTTGATCCTTTTGGTTCGGCCCAACATCCTCAAATGTCCTCAGAACTTTATCTGGTTGCTGGAACCACCAAAACACGGCCCACCACTGTACGTCTCATATGCAAAAGGTGAACGACTTGTCTAGTACCATGTGTGCGCGCGAACGTGTATATGTGTAAGTATATATAGGGTTAATTCCACTTTGTCCTCCCAAACTTTGGACGATTACCCACTTCAATTCCTAAACTTCAAAATGGGACACTTAAGTCCCTAAAACTTATAAATTGGGACACTTAAGTCCCTAAACTTACAAAATGGGACATTTAAATCTCTAAACTTATAAAATGGGACACTTCGACCACCAACGGCATTCAGGATTCTGTCAATAATTTTCCTTAATTGGGAGGTATTTATAAGTTTAGGGATTTAAGTGTCCCATTTTAAAGTTTAGGGATTGAAGTGGGTAATCGTCCAAAATTTGGGGGGACAAAGTGGAATTAACCCATATATATACTAGTAAGTGTAGGCTGTGCACAGCACAGCCAGTGCCCACCTTGAAACGTTAAAGGTTAGCAAAATTTGATAGAATGTTTGTCAGTAGAGTGTCATGTTTGCAAGTATACGTAAATTATGTATATTATTGAAATGGAGAGAAATTGGATTATCAGTATTTAAATTTGAACAAATGAACTTTGTCATTTTTTTTGTCAATTTTCTTTTGAGTCATTAATACATTAATATTTAGTTAAAATATGAGTCATTAATGCTAACTGAAATTACCACCAAGTATAGCTTGCAAATTTGATGAGAAAATATATGTCTTTATTACATTTCATTAAGATGCTTTTTTTTTCCTCTTTGAATGATAGCTTTCAAATATACATTTTTTTTGTCATTGTCACTGGATTTATTATTGTCTACATTTTCCATTTAACAAATTTAATTCAGGTACAAATTAATAATATACTTATATACTTTTTTGTTTTAAAATTATATGTATAATTTGTTCAGCAAATATTCGCAGAGAAATTGAAACACAGTAGAATTAATAATGGTTAGCATTTTTGCAGAAGTTTTTCGTGTTTGATAGAGGGACATCTATATATGAATTGGATTTATAACTTATCAATAAATTTGCTTTTCAAGGTAAAAGAGATTAAATTGAAGTACATTAACATAAAGGATAGACAAATACAAAAATATTAGAATTAAAACATACGTAGGGAGCAAGTCAAAATAGCTAAGTCGAATTAACACAAATGATAAATAGATACAAGATAATTAAATTAAAACACAAGTAGTTCAGTTCTGAAGCACATAAGCATTACATTGTTGGAAACTAATTTTATGCATAATCATTGTGAAGGTTCATTTAAGTCTGCTGGCCAGCTGAGACTTGTTCAACTTCATAGCTTGTGATAATGGTAAAAACTGTTCCTTTAATTGCTTTTTCTCTTGGAGTTGCTTTCTTAAGAAAGCACAGGAGTCTCTTTCCTTGAAATATATTAAGTGGCAATGTTAGTTCAATTGTATAACTTTTAATGTACCATTTTTTGTCTATCATCATCTCTTGAATTTTGGATTAAAAATTAATAGATCATAATATAGTTCATAAATACATTTTTCATTTAGGTAAAAGTCTAGAATTGTATTTCAATTTTGTAGTTTCAAAGATATTGACATAATTTATATCCTATTTAAAATCTCAATAGTAATTTTTTCAAGAATCCAAAGCCAAAAAGGGAAAAAAAATGCTATAATGATTGGTTCCATTATATATGCTAAAAACTAATGGAGCTGAGAGCTGCAATCATCTGAATCTGTAAGAAGAAAATTGTTTAAAAGAAGTTAGAAGATTAATAAAAGTGAGAAAGAAGAATTAAGCATACAAATTCATCATTTGAGTAAAATAACAGAGTTTGGAAACTGAGCTCTGGTTCAATATTAACATCTTTTCTACCTTCCCACTGCCAAGTAATTCAACAAGCTGTCATAAACTTTTTAGTAGTGCTATATCCTAGACAACTATAAATTGAAATACTAACTGCCCACTAATTAGATTGCTAACTTGCATTTACTCCATCAAGTTCTTTATGAGAACGCCATCATAAAGGATCTTGAGCATTGATATGAAATTTGGGAACATCTTTTGTGATCTTCTTTTGGGATTGCTATCAAAATTTGACCTCCAACCTCAGTAGTATATGCCTTGATAGTGTTGTTCTTCGCTGTCCTTTTGTCCTTGGATTTTCCAAATTAAAAGCATGGATGAAAAAATAATTGTAACCGCCTCAACATGAGAGGCTAGTTTAGCAAAATGTGTAGCATCCTTAATTTCATTAGTGAATTTTGTTCGAAATATTTGTTTGAAATATTTAATCAACAATTACATGTTGACTATGTAATTTCCAACTGCAAAGCAATATAGTTTTTTACAATCCAAAACTAAGGCAGCATTCTAAAATTTTAACAGATAAGCAGATACGTTATATACAAATAACTTATTAAAGCATACAGAGTCATTTTTTTTTATGGCAGCCTCATTCAAAAATCAAATAGTAGAAATTTATAAGTCACTTATGCCTACGCCATAACTGAGACAGCTTATCTTTTTCAATTATTTTCAACTGACCAAAAGAATGCTCTTATAAGGCTTTAGGATATCTCAAGAGTCAAGATCAAAAGCTATACGTGAATTTATAAGGGTAAACTTATGATAAAATGTCATACAAAATAATTAATCCAATAAGCAAAACTTAAAGCTATAAATGGATCAAATAATTTGAACAAAGCCTCATTAATTCTTTAAGGAAAAATACAACTTTTTAGTATAATATTTCAATCCTTTCCTACAATTGTTCTTCCAAGAGCATTTAAGCGCATTTATCAAGTTGCACTCATCATTATGCAATAACTCATCAAGTTATAGCTCATGGAGTTGAACTTACTTGGTCATCAGCTGGCTAGATGAAGAGCGGTATATGATAACAATTTCAAAGCGTATGGACTGAAAATTGCAGCATGTAAAGATCCTGTTACATCATTTACCACAAATCCCAAGCGACACCTATCATATTTTGCCATTACCTGAAGCAAATTAGAAGTTATAATTGTTGTAAATGATTTACTAATTCTAGCATTAGAAAAGTAAATAATAACATTTACCTCGCTTTAACGCCAGTTTCTTCCTTGCATGATGGGCATCTAATGGTGCATTCTATCTCAATATGGATAGATTTTTGGGTCTTAAGCCAAAAGTTTCTAAGAAAAAATCAGCCAAAACTTAACATTTTTAGCAAAACTAAATTGAAACTCAGAAGTCTTAAATCAACATGTACCAAAGCCATGGTTAAACATGCAAGTTCTATATCTTTAAAGCAATGGGTGTTATTATAGGGTACTATTAAGTTCAAGCCTTCACCATAAGAATATGAATTTCAATTTGAATCATAATGAGTTCATAAAGACTATCCTTTAAATAATGAAATAAGATTATTAAACAAATTAATTGGACAACAGTGGTTCTAGTTATCCTTTTAGCAATTTTGCCTCTTAGGCTCTTGTTATCAACAATACATAAACCTTTCTGTTTTGTTACTCCAACAAAACACTGTGAACTGGAAATTAACAAAAATTTAAGAGTTTATTTATATCCTATGATGTTAAGCAACAGAGGAAAGGAGAAAAATTTACTTAGCAGCAGGGGCTGTAGCATGACCATTAGTAGTAGAAACCTGGGGCTTCTTCTCTTGAGCTGGCTTAGATGACTGAGGGATAATTTCTTTTCCAACCCCAGAACGCACAAAAGTTTGCTGACTTCTGCTCTCAACTCCACCAGCTCCAATACTCTTGACAAACCCATTAGCACTCCTAGGAAAAAATAAGCCACCGCATTAGCCAAGTTCATCTCAGATCTATCATTCCCAGAATAAATTCACTTGTCAGAATCACCGTTAAGGGTGTCAACAACGTTCCCTTTGTTCCCTGAAATTAAACTCTTTAAGTACACCAATATGTGCAGAGATAAGAAACTAACAATACAAAATTTCTAAGATATGTGCATATGATATATCTAAGATACATATGATGTATCTTATAAATTTTATATTAAACTTTGGAATACAATACATATAAAATATCTAAGATATGTGTAAGGATAACAAACTAACAATACAAAATTTCGACTTCTACAGTTGAAAATTCTCAATCGTATGCTATATTACATCGGCACCATCAGAATTTATGTGGTAGCTCTTTACCTGGACAAAAGGTAACTAAAAGTTTTTTAAGTTATTATATGAAGATGAAGTGTAAGACATACTTGAATCGGCAACTTCTACAGCACAAAAAAATGTAAACCAATGCTTCCAACTACTAATCTACTAATAATTAACTTCTTGATAGGATAATTTGTGCCCTAAAAAAACGTTGAAAAGAAAAGATAAAGTGCCCTAAAAAACATAGAAAGAAATGGCCGTTGAGAAAAAAATGATATAGACCGGAGTAGAATTTACCTGTGCGATCATTCTCTCCGTGTTTTCTCTGCTATCCCAAGTTTCACACAGACATTTTATCAAACACTTGATGGCCATTGGTCTCTGAGATTTCACAAAATCTTGACTTGCTTGAATAGCTGTGTTTGCTAGATAAATCATTGCAACAAAAAAAACAACACAAAAATGAAAAAAATATCTCGAATATCAGAACATCATCTAATAAAAAAAATAAGAGAAAAAGAAAGAACAAAATGAAGAACATCTGATAAAAAAAATTTTAAAAAAGGAAAAAAAATAAAATGAAAAAAAAATTCATTGACACATATATTCACATTTAGCAGAAAAGAAGAAAAAGGAAATTTTTGTACTAAAGTTAGAATATCATCTAATAAAGACCTAAAAGGCAAAAATAAAATTCAGAACCAAAAGGGAAAAGAAATAAATTCTTACTTTTCCTGTAACCCTTTCTCTAGAACTTTTTCTTGTTAGAGTTCTCTTTTCTTCTCCTCTATTGTACGCAATATCACAAAATGTAACGAAGGAGAAAAAGTGCCAAAAAGTAGACTCAATCTATGAAACAATTGGTGGTTTTCATGGCAATAATTAACACTGATAGGTTAGCCATGTGTATTCTACAGTGGAGAATGAGAAGAATTTGGTGAAAAAAAGATACGGAGAAAGGAAGAAGCTTACCTGCTTCTTTGCTTTTTCTGACCATGCATAGAAGCAGTTCAACTGCTATTCTTGATTGTGTCTGACGTACAAAGGAAAGGAATGGAAAACGCAGCCAAAGATAGGAGAAGAATGGAAGGCAAAAAGTCACAAACAGCCTTAAATAGTTAGCTACTGTTTTGAGAGCCATTTTTTCTCACTAGACAAAGTAGTAATTTTACATAAAAAGACACAAATGGCCTCAACAGTGGTATACTGTTCGCAGAAATAGTCAACATTCTAAGGCCATAAACGGAAAAAAGTTTCTCCCTAGTGGACTCCCTCCTCGGAGTCAACCGCATGGCTCAGTATGCTAAAAGAAGTCTTAAGAACCTGTCCTTCTAGCACCAACGTGGTAGTTTGGAAAAAGTAGACAATGTAAAGTCCATAGACAAAGCAAACGAAAAGGCTCAAAATTTATCCAATGTGCCACGTGTCAGCAACAGGAGTTGCTACAGTAACATTGGCCTTTTGCTTATCTTATAGTAACTAAAGGAACCAGGTTGTGCCTTGGCCTTTCAAAAAATACTGATCATTGGAAAAGTATATATAACAATTCTAGTTGCATAATAGGTACATAATACCATAATTATCATTCATAGATAGTTGTCAACAATTTCAGTAGCAATTACACACCTTCCAGTACAATTAAGTCATAAGTAGAGGTATATTGGCATGCTAATAGTCTTTTTCAAAGTTCATTTTAGTTACATAATATCATATATTATGATCCATTAACTTCCAGTCATACAGATAATGTTAATGGATTCTAATATGATGGCAAAAAATAGCATGCTAAAAGTTCAGTAGCATACATGATGAACAAAAGAGGACATGAAGCTGTGTGGCTGCTTTATTTTGCAGATTCACGTGGCTTCTTGAGAGTGCTCATATGAGCAGATTTTGAAGATGCAGGCTTGTTGTCTTCAGGACTCTTTTTTGCAGCAATCGAGGAAACAGCTTCAATGGTTGTCTTCTCAACAGAAGGTACATTAGTTCTGGGAATTGGAGCTTCAAAAGTTAAGCTTCTTTTTGCAGCAATGTTTGAAGAGGTTGGCTTATCTGCTCTATCTAATCGTTTCTTTCTCCATCTAAGAACTGCATTTTTTCTACAATCTTTTTTCCTCATCATTTGACCCACATCAAATTGAGAAATCACAGTAGGAACATCATCAGAATTTTCTTTGATCACAGAGTCCATGACAAAAAAAGAAGACTACTATCCAAGGCATTTCATATGAAACAGACATTCATTCTCATCATGTGAAGGCTTTCACTCTTCATAACAGAAAGAAAATCTTTAACTACATCATGTATCTCACAATCATGTAAAAATGAAACAGATAGCAATTAATATGCCTGAAGCTCAAGAATTTTTAACATGAGACACACAACCTGTAATATAATCAACAACAGATAAAATCCAAATCATTTAGACAAAAAAAGCAGCACAAAATTTAGTTTCTTAGACAAACCTAAGAACTGAATATGCCAACTTGTTGGAGCAAAAGATGCACACCAAATAGAATAGCCAGCTTCAGTTGAAGAAACAGGTCGACATTTTGTAAACACGGGCAAAAAAAAAGAAAGTAAAATCAGTATAAGAAAAGGAAGAACAAAGATTCACAATGAAAAAGAAAATTGAAGAATCATAGTAGCAGTGCTAGACACCATTTTCATAACTCCATAAAATTTATTGTTTAGTTATGATCTAGAAGTATAAAAATATGTTTTCAAATAAATTAAATACATTGTGAGAAGAAAATCAACCAAATTAATAAATGATGGTCTTATAACTCTCATTATTGATCCGTTTACTATTCTGTTAAGTTTTACTGCTAGTGAAAACATAGTCAAATGATATGAGCCTAAAACATTGTTTAGATAAACTGTTTACTAATATTGTCATATAATGGTGAAAACCAGAAAAAAAACTTGATCCTATAAGTTTATGAAGACATGTCTATCTGTGATAGAAATGATAGTTTACAGATTTAGAGACTCTGAGGTCAGGGCATTTATGAACCATTAACATATTCTTACTGACAATTTTAGTTTTTATTGTTGATAGGAAGTCAACGTGGCCATGGTCTCCTATATCCCTGTATATGGCTGAAGTTGCAGCTGTTTCCTAAGTTGCTATAATACATGGCTTATACATGGAGGTTTATTTAATTAATAAGCAGACTGATAAATCTGTTTTTTAAGGAGAGACCAAAGGAAAAGTGCAATGGAAAATAATTAAGTATACAGGTTCTTCATGGATCATAATCTTAAGTGACTGTAGTTTCTGCAGTAGTATTTTTTATTCATGATACGTGTAATTTTTGCACCATAACCTACCAAAATTTGATTTACACAAAATTTCTTGAAAGGCAATGAAAATTTGTCAACAAATATTGAATATTGATTCAAAGATAACGATAAAGAGACTAAAGATCATATGTTATAAGAAGGGGAAAAAAAAGACTATAATTAATGCATAATTGTCAATGATTTATTAAAGTCCTAACCATTGTGCTTTTACTTTGATAGTATATGTAAAAAGAACTAAACAAATGCTATAAGCAACAACCTAATATGTTACTTCTTCAATAGTAGCAATCCAGCAGGTGAATAACCTTTTTTTGCTACCAAACTTGTTGTCCACAAAACATTGTAATCTGCTTGGTATTATAAAACACTAAAGAGTTTTCAGATTTTCTCTACTTGCGTGTCAATTTCTCTAGAAACATTCAATACTTTATCCAAGTAAATAAATGTTATCACCTTTTGATATTATGAGCATGATATTATGGATTAATACTTAATTCTTTATAGCAGCAATATTCCATGTATACTATATGATCTATGGCATGGAATGCATATGATGAGTAAAATGACTCAAATCTAAAGTTGAGAAGCTACCTGAGAAGTAATTATTTTCTTTATCTTCAGGTTTATTTTTATCTTTTCACAAATTTTACATAGAAATGTGGACAAAAACTTCTTTATGGACATATTGCAATCACTTACTACTAAACAAGCGAAAACACCATCCTTTTTTTCAGAGAAAAATAAAAGTATCAATTCCAATGTCTTAAATAAAATCAAGAGATTGATGTCAATGGCAAAAAGTGAACTTTATCTAAACGAAACTGATAATCAAGATATCTAAGCTTCTAAATTGACCGAAAATGAAAACTCAGAAAGCTAATTGAGCAGCTAACCCAAACACAGCTGCAAAAGGAGCAAAAAAGAATGCAAGCAATGCAAATTGAATAGGAAAAGAAAAGAAGAATAAACCTGATTAAGTGAAGTATTAGATTGAATTGTTCTGAAACCAAATTTTTCACAGTGGAGTATGGCGAAAGTTCAGTGATTGTTGATTGAGGTAGGCTCATTCGTTGTCCGAAGAGGGAGAAGTAAAAGGGATCATAATTAAGGCTTTGGAGTTGGCTTTTGTTTTATAGATTTAATGTACCCTAAAAATTTACATAAAATGTTCCAATTTCTTTCGGATGGTCACAACATGATTTAACAAAAAGTTTACATATCACAACATGATTTAATAAACCAATTAATATCTTATTCTAATATTTAATATTTACCGAAATTTTTACATGAAAAAACCAAGAGAAACATTTAGCCAAAATCTACTAATTTTAATATCTCTACCACATATGACTACACATATTTAGGAAAAAAAGATAGAATCTAATTTACAAATGAAAAGGATCCTTACCAAAGCTAGAAGCAGAAGAAGCTCCCTTTCAAACGCAAGGTCTTCGGAGAAAGAAATATCACCCTTTATATGGGCACTTCTCTTTCTTTTCCTTTTCAAAACCTAAAAACCTAAATTATTACTCACTTAATTTCTATCACATCAAATCTCTGAAAAATATAATTTAGAATTATGGTGTTCATGGGAAAATTGGATGGTTACAAAACCAATTCCAGTACAAATGAATGAAATCAAACGGCTGGGCACTTTCCTGGGGAAAAATCCCTGAATTTTGGGGAAAAAGAAGACACCTAATCTCTGAGGGATTTCAGGCCTTCCATGCTTCCAAATACAATAAGCATGTGAAGCAACCATCTCTGTTACAGGAAGGGAAGAGTACTTGCTGGTACTTTCACCTGAAGAAGAAGAAAAGAAGAGATACTCCGTTCCGTTGGTTTCTTGTTTGTCTTAAGTTTCAGCAATGAAATTGGCCATATAATAGAGGTTTCGTTGGTTCTATTGCAATGTAATGGGTCCCGCTGATTCTATTGCAATGTAATGGACAATGTAATGTCTTGCTGGTTCCGTTGGTTTCTTGTATGTCTCTGGTCCATTGTTCCCCTTATTAAAAAATCCAGCCAATGTCAAATAAGTAGCAAGCCACTTGTCAAAAAAAGAGCCTGCTATAGTAATAAGAAGATATAATAGGAGGTTATTGGTTGTGCTAAGCACAGCCTAGGCCCCTATAATCTGTTGTCATATCCAAACTTTTTGCATGTTTGAAGAGGGTTGTTGACCTGCTGGGTTTGGTAGCATAGGCGGCTGGAATTGGACTTGCTGAGGATAAATGTGCCGAATTTGTGCTCAGAAGAGCCGTGTGGTAGAGAGAAAGGAGGAAAAGGGTTCAACGGCAATTTGGGAAAGAAACAGTGCAATGGCAAAAGAAGGAAAATAAATAGAAGGCTTGAAGAGGGGTGTTGACCTGCTGGGTTTGGTAGCAAAATCTCCTCTTCTCCGTTTCTTCCATTCAGATAGCCGAATATGAACCTGCAAAAGATGCTACTGTTCTACCAATTTTCTGAACAAAGCATTGTACTTTCTCTCGGTTAGAACCACAAAAACCCTCCACATGCACGTGATTGCACTTGCCCCAAGAATCAGTTTCTTTTAGGGATTGTACTTGGTTTGAATTTACCAGTGAATTCGTCCTTTTTTCTGCTGCTACGAAGTGATTCAACGGCAATTTGAGAAAAAAAGCATTGCAATGGCAAAAGAAAGAAGAGAAATAGAAGGCTTCGGACAAGAGAAGCTTTAGATTCAGACAATTTGCAAGAAACATTTTACCTTGCCATTCCTTAAAAAAACAAAAGCATATATTTTTTGTCATTTAGAAATTATTGCATTCATTTGCTCAACAAAAAATTTTTTTTGTCAAAATAAAAGACAAATGTTCACATATCAATAAATTAAAATAAAATTGATTCGAAAGTGTGTATTCTATTAGTTGGCTATTTCATTTTTGCATTTATAACAAATTGGAACCAATTTCTTTTCTTCTTTTTTTTTATCGTTTTCCCACTTTGAAGATATCTTTTTCTTTTCCTCCGAGTTCAAAAATAGCCAAGGTTTGATTAAGAAAGTTTAAATATTTTTTTAGCATCTAGATTAAAATAATAAAATTCTTGCTATCAAATTTGGATATTTCTTTTAATTTTTGAAAATGTGACAATTTTTCTATCATTTTTTGACGGCTTCTAAAATAGCAAAAGTTATATTAAAAACGTAGCAAAAAAATAAAAAATATAAACTTTCAAAAAGACGAATAGAATTCTATGATTTTTAATAAAGTCAAGTTAATCTGTGAAATATAAGTTTAAATGATATTTCAAATCGTAATAAATATAAATTCAAATAATGATAATGATAATAATATTATAATTGGATTACATCTGTCCAAGACCTAGAGCTTGAAATCAATTTTAAATATTTCTTTTTGTTTTTGAAAATACGATGATCTGAAAAATACTCTCTCAAATTGGCATCATAATAAATATAAATTGAAATAATGATAATAATAATAATAATTTGTAATTGAATTACATCTATCAAAAGCTTACAAATTGAAAATTTCAATAAAAATAATTGGATTTCATACTTGAATGCCAAGGCCAGACCAAATTTGGTCATTGTGCAATGCAGTCCAATCTATCTATCTACCGTTGCCTATAAAAAGAAAAGGAAAGAATGAAAGCTCAAAAATTCACCAAGGATGCCATGTGTCAATGAGACAGCATGCTACAGTAACAGTGCAATGGCAAAAGAAGGCAAAGAAATAGAAGGCTTCGGACAAGAGAAGCTTTAGATTTAGACAATTTGCAAGAAATATTTTACCTTGCCACTTGTCAGATAATTAAGAAGCCATGTGGCAAGAGGAAAGGAAAACACTAAACCTTGCTCTTTTCTTATATACAAGGTAGATATTGAAGGAACTAGAGGTACTTGAACTGTGCAAAGCACAGTTTGGGCCCCCTAGAAATTTAGTTGAATGCATAGCATTAAATTATTTTGACACATGATGAATGAATAAAAATATAGGAGAAAAATTGAGCATCAAAGCAATTAAATTTGACAAATATTATTTGAACTCTCATGTTTGTTAATCATACTTTCGCTATGATTTTTATCGTATAGTTTTTGTTTATTGTAGGAACACAATTAACACAATATCGAGTATAAATAAAATTTCTATCAAAATTTGTTGTGAAGAGAAATTCCATCTATGAAGTCAACCTCTCTATTTATTGTGATTTGAATAAAGATTTTTGAACCACTATTATGATGATACCCAAAAAGGAGAAAAACTTAATACACTATAAGTGCATTGATGTATTAATAGTAGTATAGTTTTAATTAAAACTAAATCAAAAGCAGTCGTAATACTTTTAGTACTTTAATAATGAGAAAAAGTTTAGGAAGCTACTAAAACATGGCACAATCTTCAACATCAATATAGCTTACTATAAACTTTCATATTTTTCTTTCTTTTGATAGAAAAATCCAGTTCATCTATTTAAATTCCGCCTAAAGGTGACAACATTATCCTGCAACTCTTGAATATAAATAGCAATGTTAGATAAAAATATGAATTAGCATGTTTCCTGGTCTACATATACAAATTAGAATTGAACTATTTTTTTTATTGCAAAAACATCTTCCTAATCAAAATTGAAATTTCTAACAATTTTTTGTCAAGTCACACTCTAGGCCGAAAGCCTCAATTGTGACTTCCACCACCGACTGCAATCCTTGTATACCAACCCAATTCATAATACAACACTTGAGTAATTAAAAAACAAACAAAAATTAACTTTAGTTTAAATATATACAAAATCTTATTGGATCCTTCAATTAAATTTAATAGGCCATAAAGTAATTGCAAAAAGAAAGAAATGGAGAAAAACGGAGGTACAATAAGGCCTAACTAGATTTATCTTGGTGGAAACATTACATGATATATCTTTCTCCTAAAAAAATACACAAAATTGTAGATAATTACAAAATGTAACCAAAAAACAAAGAAAAAGAAACAAAATGTGAAGTAAGAAATCAAATCATAGGAGAAGAAAATAAAAGAATGAATTTTTGTTCTATTATTCATAGAAAATGATCATTGGTATAAAATGAATTCTAAATTTTTTTTTTACATATTTTAATATTTCACTTTTTATCCATGAAGAACTACCAAATAAAACATCATCCTATAAATTTAACAAACAAATGCCAGTTGGCTATAACATTATGATAAAAAAATAGATCAAACATGAGAGATTAGAGATGAAGAAAAAAGGAAGAAAAGAAAATGTAAAATGGGATAAAAAAAATAAAGAATTCTTTTTGCTAGGTAGTTATCATCTTGACAAAAAAAAAGAACATGGCAACAATCTTAGTTAGATTAGTTTTAAAAAATAAAAAATAAATAAGGTGAGGAATGATAGTAGTTACTGTAAGAAAAAAAAAGAAGAGATGGAGTTGATTTTGTCAAGGAGAAAAAATATTTTAATCCTTTAGCCCAATTGAATAAAAAAGGGGAAGGAAAAATTTAGGTAAAATAATCAAAGGTCCACTTGTCAAAAATATATATAATACGTGTGTCAAAAAGATGGTTAGCTACAGTAACTTAGCTTTCTTTTTATATACAAGGTAGATGATAGAACAGTCCATAAGACCCTATTTAGTTCGTAGGAATGCTTGCTGTGAGCTTCCTGATTTGATTTTTAATTCATCTTCTTTTCCCCTTCTGCTTTTAAGATTTAAAATATCTATTTAGACCAAAAAAAAAAGAAGAAAAGATTTAAAGAAAAATGCCATAATTTCAGATTTTAATCTGAATAGTGTTTTTATCAAGAGGCTTCTTTCCAAAAATGGTATATTTGTGTAATTAGTTACTGGCTGTCATTTGACATTGGTTTTATCACGAGGCTTTCATGATATCTTTGCATATTTTGTGTGCATTTGTTAAAATACACTTATGATCACCGCGTTAACTTTGTTAACAGCCTTCAACTGGATTTCGTTTTGTCTCTAGCTGATCAATTGATTTACTCCATATTCTAGCAATAGGACGCAATTAAAAAGGTGGTATACTTTTTTTTTTTTTGCTGACGGAGTGAGTGTCCGGGTCAAGACCGTAAAGGCGGCCCGACTAATCCCACTCCGGTCCGGTCCAGCGCCCCAACCAGAACCAAGCACGATAGATGCACGGAGGTACCGATGTTGCTGCGGAGGTTCGACCCCAGGACCTAACGGTCCCGAGGAAGAGGCGCCAACCACCAGCCCATTCACGTGGGGGCTGGTATACTTTTCTTAATCACAGTGAAAGTCGGAGTCAAGTAGATTGGCATCTTTCTTTTTTTCAACAATTAACTCCTTCCAAAAGATATAAGAGAGGTCCTGCAGTTCCAGTGGGACGTAAACGAAACCAGATAGCAGGGTACTGCTGGGTTCGAACGAGTTGGCTTCGCTCACGGTCTTCAAAAGTCCTGGGACTAATTGTCCTGTTCCCCATATAAAACCACGTTTTCATGTGGGCCTCACAGCCCATAATCCCCATTGCCATTGGACGTCAGCCCCTCCCTCCCAACAAACAAACTCCAAATGAGACGTGTAGTTCAGTTCTTCGTCCCTTTGTTTTCAAGTCCTGATGCAAAGAACCAAACCAGCCCCTATCCTCAACTTCGGGCCCCCACCCTTTCATTGCCCACGCATATTATTTTGCAGGAGTCTGCACTCTCCGCTGCCCACAGAAAATCAAATTGTAGGCTGTAGACAGGCCAAATCAGCTTTGTTCAAGGAGGTCAATCTTCCATGTCAGCAACACCAGATTTCTTTATTAGCTCATCAAGGAATCCGCTCTCACCGTCTTCACGTGGGTTTCCCTTCTCCCGCATTTCATCATCCTTCACCGCAA